ATTCTTAAATAATTAATAAAATATATTTTAAAAGAAAATTGACTTACAGTATTATAAAAACCTATGCATTTGGGAAAGAATATTCACTGGAAATTGGATTTGGTGATGTTGAGCTACTAACATCCATTTATTGTTCCTTTGGGAAGAAAAAGCCCTTTTTATGAACAGTGAAACCTCATCCAGAGAAAGAGGGGTGTCTTAGTTCACTCCTTACAATATGAACCTGTTTTCTCCATTTCTTAGCATGTCATAAATAAACGTGCAAACATGCAAAATGCTTAACCATGCACGTTAGGTTAAGTCTGTGTAATGCTTAGACTTCACTGCCAGCCTGACTGGATTAAGGAACACTGGTGCATTAGTGAGGAGCACCTCTGGATGTGTATGCAGCCATTTCCAGGGATGATTAGCAGAGGAGGATCTGCCCTGAATGCTGTCGATGTCATCCCATGGTCTAGGGTGTCCGACTGAAAATAAAAAAAAAAAAAAGGAGAAAGCAAGCAGAGCCCTCTGAATCTTTATCTGTGGTGCTGTGAGGAGTCCCAGTCACATGTTCCCACTGTCATGAGCTCTGTCATCCTTTTCTCATCATTATGCCCTGAATTTTCTGGAACCATGAGGTTAATCCTTAAGTTGTTTCTGGGAGGCCTTTTGCTGCACAACAAGGAAGATAACTAAAACATCTTAACAGCTCTTTTCTATTAAATGCTGTTTACTGTATTAAACCAAACTAACATGTTAGCCCACCCAAATCTTTTGTGTTTGCCTTTACATCTTTTCAAGGGTCAATATCTAGAATTCATAAGAAACTTAAAAACATGATAGCAAAAAATAATGGTAAAACAACATTGTTTAAAATGGAGACCCTGTCTCAAGGAAATCCCATCTCAAGGTGAATAGACAAAACAGGGCTCCTGATGTCCTCAACTGTCATCCTTGCCTATGGACCGCACAGGGATATGCACTGAACATACATGCACGTGCTTACACAATGGGAGATACAGACACTTCTCAAAAGAATACATGCTAGTCAACAACCGGTACGTGACAAAGTACTCAGCATCATTAAGCACCAGGAAAATGTAATTTAAAGCCACAATAGGATACCACTTCATTATTTTTATGTGGCTATTATCAAAAACACAGAAGAAAGCAGGTGATGGTATGGATACAGGGGAAAAGAACATACTCTGCAGTTGAGAATATAAAATTGGTACAGCTTTCATGAAAAATAATGTGGAGGTTTCTCAGAAAACTAATACTAGAACTATGATCCAGCAATTCCAGCAATAAACACAAAACCAGGGAGAAATTGGTTCAAAGAGACATCTGCCTTCCCATGTTCACTGCAACAGTATTCCTAATAGCTGGGAGATGGAGTCAACTGGGGCATCCATCAGCTGATGAGTGGGGAAGGAAAGGGTGGCACATATACACAAAGAAACACTACTCCTTCTTAAAGCGAGGGGCTCTGGCATCACAGCACCGCGGCCAGAACTGGAGGGGACGTCTAAGTCCCACACAGAAAGACAACGGCCACAGAACTTCACACAAACGTGGAATCCAGACATTTACCTCATGGAAGTAGAGAAGAGAGCCCAGTAGTGCTTAGCAGAGACAGGAGAGGACTAGGAAAGTCCAGCAGTGATGATGAAAGGAGGAGGAAATAAAATAAGTTCTATTTCACGTGGAGAATGTCAATGTCTTCCCCACAAAGAAATGATATTTGGAGAGAGACATGCGGATCCTGATTTGAACATTACACAATGCTGAAATATCACATGGTATCCCACAGATATACTTAATTTTATATATCAAAAAATCCTTGGGATTTTCTTTTAAAAATGCTTTAGCAGCTTAATGAAAATATAAACTGAAATTATGAACTATAGTATTCTTTTAGAACATAATTATATCCATTAGACCAGAGTATCTATAATTATGAAAGAAAAATATTCCACAAAATATATTTCTAAATTTCATGATGCACAATGTCATAATGGAAGAATCAGCATTCTCATTCACCACTCAATGACAGTTTAATCTTATTACTGCAATAACTAAAAAAGGAATGCTAGATATCTTTACCCAAAGAAAACTCTCTCCAAATATGCACTAATCAAGCATAATGCCTGCCGTTTTTATTTTTATCCCACAGCTAGTAGGGAGAGCAATAAAAAAAGGAATGTGGTATTTACATTTACGTTGTAATTAAAGTTCCCAGTATACACAAAATATCGATGATGGTGTAGTGCCCCCACGTGGCAAGATGATGAACTGCAGGACTCTGTTGGGAGGGTTGGAAGCTGTGGTCCATTTTGTCAGTTCATTGTCTCTAGAGAGTATATTACAAAAACCTGAGTTTCAAGTGTCTTGCATCCCAGTTCAGGCCAGGGGGATATTCAAGTAAATTATTTTAACATTTAATATTAGGGAGGTCTGCTTTGATCTGCTAAGGAAATGGCAGTCATAACATTATAGGAATCTTCACCTTTGCCTAGTTACAATATCACTTCCTTCTGTTTGTGGTCCACTACATAAAGCAGAGGCCAAAACCTTATCTAATAACCAAATTTTAGGACAATGAGGAGTGCCAATGGGGTAGTCTGCTCATAAACCAGAGGCTCAAGTGTCAGCAGTACAGAGATTGGGAGGGGGGATTGTAAAAAATAATATAAAGCAGACTTAAGAACTAGAATATTCTCTTTCAGAACAGAATTCCATCTAAGAGTTATCAGAATTTTAACATTCTCTCTGTGTGGCTAAAAGATCACCCTTAGGACTGAAAGAGAAAGTCCTTTTCAGAAAGAACACTGAATGCTTAATCTTTATTGTCAACCTGACAGAATTGAGAATTTACCTAGGAGAGTATCTCTGAGCATGTCTGAGAAGGTGCATCCAGAGAAGTTTAACTGAGGAGGGAAGACCATCCCCGAATGTGGGCAGCAGCATCTGATGAACTGGGGTCCCGGACCCAATAAAAAGATGATGGGGAGAGAGCTGAGTCGGGCAATCATGTTGATCTGACTGTGGGGACAATGTGACCGGCTGCTTCACACTTCCACTGCCAAGCCTTATTGTGATGGACTGCGTTCCTTCAATCCCTGGGCCAAAACAAACCTTCCTTTCTCAAGTTGCTTTGTAGGTGTATTGCCATGGCATTGAGAAAATGAACAAATACGTAGCATAAGTCATGCTCTAGGAACCCAGAAAAACCGCAGCTTTCACACTTCTTCATGCTGGAACTTACTGAAAATTCTGAATTCTAGATAACTACAACCTGATCAAATGTTATACAAGGAGACAATTTCCAAAGTTGATCTTTAAAATAAACCATCGGTAACACTTTTATAATTCCAACAATATAGCAAGACAGAAGGTCATATGTCGTGCTGATTTTCAAGCCATACTTGAATATACAATAAGAAAAAGCTGGAAGGAGTTACAGGTGCCAGAGGGTGTGAAGAAAATAGACTCGAGGACAGAAACGACCTTCAGGGGCCTTTGTTTCTCGTATTCCTCCCGTGTTTATTATAGAGGAGTGGGGGGGGGCAGGAATTAACCTTAGGTGTCATTGTTCTTCAGTTTCTAGTCCCCTTGTTTTGTTTGTTTGTTTTTGGTTTTGTTTGGTTTGGTTTGGTTTGGTTTTTCAAGACAGGGTTTCTCTGTGGCTTTGGAGGCTGTCCTGGAACTAGCTCTTGCAGACCAGGCTGGTCTCCAATTCACAAAGATCTGCCTGCCTCTGCCTCCCAAGTGCTGGGATTAAAGGCCTATACCACCACCTCCCAGCTAGTCCCTTTGTTTTTCAGACAGGGTCTCTCACTGAAGCAGGAGTTTGGCAGTTTTGCTTGGCAGGCAGCCAGCTAGCTGCAGGGACCCTTTTGTCTCTGACTCCCAGCACAGGCTACCACACCTAGCTTATTTTATGTGGGTTGGGTCCTATGCATGCATGACAAGCACTTTGCCAACTGAACCACCACCCCAGCCTAACTACAGTTCCAACTAACTTTTAACTGCAACAAATAGAAGACAGATTAATCTAAAATAGACACTCAATTGTAAAAGAGGATAGAGCCAGGCAGTGGTGGCACACACCTTTAATCCCAGCACTCGGGAGGCAGAGGCAGGCAGAACTCTCGAAACAGCACCCCCCCTCAAAAAAAAAAGAGGATGGAGCTAATGGTATCAAGAATTCCCTCAACTATGAGAGTTTATAAAGTCTGAGCAAAATTAAAGGTGACCAGGGTACCATTAATGTGAACTGGTTTTGAATGAGAAGATCCATTTGTTTTACATTTCTAGCTTCTGACTACAGTTTCTGAAGAGCTCTTCAAAGAAACCAAAGAAAACACCTTCTTTCCCTCAGTACAGCCCATTTACCTTGCATATGAATTACTATTTGCTTTCATTTTGAGGCATTCCTAAAAATAGTTATCATCTTAAAGAATTTGACTTTTCTCATTGAGGGAGTCCCAACCAAGGTCAGTGGGAACATTCTACCATTGAGACTGTGGTATGCCTTAAAAAGTTATTTTTATGTAATTTACCCTATTCACCTTCTCTGGGTCATTTGAATACTTTATTTGGATCTGAAATGTGTACTGTTGCTGCTTTTTATAATCTTATCTGCGGCTGTGAGTATAGCTCAGTTTTAGAGCAAAACCTTGTGACTTCAAGGAAAATGGGGTGGGGTATCTAGAGAGAAACCAGTGAGGGGACTTTTCTTTTTATTTTATTTTATTTTAGGTTTTTCGAGACAGGGTTTCTCTGTGTAGCTTTGGAGCCTATCCTGGAACTCCCTCTGTAGACCAGGCTGGCCTTGAACTCACAGAGATCCACCTGCCTCTGCCTCCCAAGTGCTGGGATTAAAGGCATGCACCACCAACTCCTGGCTTATGAAGGGACTTTTCTGTTTAGCAGTTTCTTGAAGATATGACTCCATGTTCTAAAATCAACCTTAGCCTGTGGCTATGCACAGATTCGAACATTGTATTACTTACAGTTCTTCTCCCTGTTTGGCTTTCTTGTCTGACACTAGATAGACAGTTCCAAAACTTCCACTGCCAAGTTTCTGTTGCAGAACATATCTTCTTGAAATCAAGGTATTTGGGTACTTGGAAATGGCTGTGGATCCACTCACACACTTAGCAGTCTCTCGGAATTTCAGCATCGCTCCAAGCAAGTTAAAATCGGCTTGTTCATTCACAGAAACAGTCCGGCCTCCCAGCTGATGGTCAAAGAGTCAAATGGGAAGTGTTGATTGATGCCAGAAATATATAAAATCCACAGATTATGTCGCAAAGCAGCTCTAAGACTCCTACAAAAAAAGTATAAGCTTTTGATAATGATACCTGTTCCATACCATATGTTATCACACCAGCTAGTGACTGAGTGTGTGTGTGTGTGTGTGTGTGTGTGTGTGTGTGTGTGTGTGTGTGTTGGTGGGGTGAAAATACTAAGCCTCTAAAAGGGACTTTCTCATAGAAAGTCTTTCCTGGGTTTACAGCCAAATTTTTAGTGACTTCTGAAATGTAGTGTATCTGTCTTATAACTTTCTGTTAAATATTTATACTCCCCATCAACTTAAAAAATAATCCAAACACAGGACCATGTCTTCCTTTAATGGACATATTGTATCCACTTTTTTGTGACTCTCTCTTCTTTCTGTGTCTACTTAGGCTTACAAACAAAGCAAACTGGGATTAAACCATGAATTAACATATTCTGCTTTCCCTTGCATTTTTTCCTTTTTAAAATCACAGTTGTTTAGTTTATTTGACTAGATATATGGAGGGATATTAATTCAGAGTGTTTTTTTCTCCCTTCCACCCTAAGCAAAATCTGATTCCATTTCTATTATACTGGGTGCAAAGTAATCTCTTTGGATTAAAGGTAACAAAATGCAACTCAAACTTAAAAATGCATTTTAAAGGTGGCTGAATATAAGTGTTTCCTAGGTAAAAACCATAATTCCTCAAGGAGCTATGAACTACAGTATGGCAGTTATGAATGGCAGAACTGTTTCATGAGAAGGTATTCTAGAGAACACAGTTTTATTCCATTCAAGTGTTAAACGTTTTATTGAAAATTTTGCTTGTTTTAAATCTGTATGGAAACATTTTACACTGAATACTATGTATTTCATAGTCAACAGTCTCAAAGCAACAAGGAAAAACACAAAACTTACCAGGGCAATAAATTTACAAAACAAAAATATAAGACCCAGTTGTAATATTGTCTTCTTCAAATAATGTACTAATCTGTTGCTTCACCCAGTCCCAGTGAAGAGGATATGTTGATGAGGGGCCAATACTCGTTGTCAGAGAAATGTTAGGAAAATGTATAGCACCTAAAGAGTAGGCCTCTAAAAGGTTTGCTCTCTGACTGGCATAAAAGTGGTGATTTCTAGATAAAGTAAGCTGTTTGGGAAAAGGTATGGCCTAACCACAGCCTTTCAGATAACTAACCATTCTCCTTAATGTGGAGAAGAGATTCAACAGAACGTGAGACGGAGGGCCAGAAGTTTCTATTTGTAATAGAGAGATAAACCCCGGACAGTGTCAAGCATCCTCCCCGACTCCCAGGCTCATCTCAGACTCTCACTCTCATCCCTGTCCATCACCACAGAGTGTACACATACTGCAGCCTGGATCTGATATTAGGGCGGGGGATGAACTTGGGTGCTGGGAACGCATGTTATCCTTGTATCCCTGGTGCCCGGCTAACAGCTGACATGCAGTATCAGTAAACGTTTGGAGAGCAAGGAAGGGTCCAGGAAACCAACTGTGGTCCAAAGACAAGGGAAGAAAGGCATCCGGATGAGGACTTGGAGAAAGCGGAGAAATGCCCACTTTGTGCTAACCATCCCTAGGGAAAACGACCCATCCCGCTGAGGCAGATCAAGGAGAAGCCAAGTGTTTGTCGCGGGTGGGATACGTCCTGAGAAGTAAACTCTAACCCTGAGGTAAAAAGCAACAACTTGCTTAATTTTCGCAAAGCAGATGAATGTATATGGTGCGGCTGGGCGCTTGCTCTCCAGAGGGGAAATGGGGTCCGGGGAACGCGGGGCCAGGCTGCCCGAGCTTCTCTTTAGTTACCTTTCCCGGTCCCTGACCAACGACGCCCGGCCCGGCCATGCCTCAGTTTAAAGCTCCTTGCCTCCGGCGTGGTTGTTGGACGCGGTCGCCACGGAGACCGCGCAGGGGCTGCTGGGAGCCCGGGGTCCGGCCCCAGCGGAAGTGCCTGAGACCCAATGAGGCGGTGCGAAGCGTGGGGGGCGAGGCGGGCAGAGCTCCCCTGAGGAAGCTGCCGGGATCGTGGGACAAACATCTCAGCCTTTGACACCAAGTTACCGCCGCCCGCCTGAAAACCCTTCCCCCCTACCGGCAGCGCCCTTGGCTTCCCTAAGCCAGGCTTCCCAGGGACGCCGTTCCCGGGCACTTCCGGCTTCCGCTCGCGGTCCTCATCTCATCTGCCGGCCTGTCAGTTCACCTTAGGCTCCCACGAGCTGCTGAAGAAGGGAGTGGGCCGCCAGGAGGAAGCAGAAGGTGGGTTGACAGGGCCGGGGTGCTTGGGGTAGCAAGGTCTGAGTTTGAGGAATTAGATCCTACATTTTGTACATCTTTGCTCTACCTGGCTTGCATTTGTTGAGTTACTCCATGCAAGGTCATGTATGAATCCTGAGTTTGCAGAAACCACAAGACAGACCGGGAAAGAAATGACTATTCAGAATTAAAACTGCTGAGGTGTGGGCCGAGGTGGATCTGAAGTGAGGTGAAATGTAAGCAGATGCCCCAAACAAAAAATTCAGGGTGCTGAATTTCTTTTACGTAGTATCTCTAAAAATCAAAATGCAAAAATTCGCTGGATGGTGGTGTTGCACGTCTTTAATCCCAGCACTCCAGAGAGGCAGAGGCAGGTGGATCTCTGTGAGTTCGAGGCCAGCCTGGCCCACAAAATGAGTTCCAAGACATCCAAGGCTGTTACACAGAGAAACCCTGTCTTGAAAAAAAAAAAAAAAAAAAAAGCAAAATTCCAACATTCACAAACAAAAAAAAATCATGATGTTAAACGAAGGCAAGATTGGTAATAGTACTTAAGCTATATTTAAACTATATTTGAAGTCTGAGGCCAGAGGGAAAACCAGTAATACCAACCAATCCTATGAGTTGTTAGCCAGAAGATGTAAATAATTGAGGGTTGAAATTGGATAGTTGGGGTCTTAGAAGCATAAATCCATAGTTTTTGCTTACCCCCACTGCTATCCAGTGGCCCCCTTGTAAGCTTTATACCCCACACTCAAGACGTATAAGAAGGATCTTACCCATAATAAAGAAAAACTGGATTCTTATGTGCCCTACACTGAGATTTATAACATTTATAAGGGTGTCATTTTTATAGCTTAGGTCCCTTTTCTTTGACCCTCACGAAACGGATACTCAGTCTTGTAAACTGCAAACATCAGTAGCAAAGTCCATAGAATTTCTGTAGGTACAACCATAGTGTTTGTGTAAGGCCAGCCAAAGATCAAACCCCATGAAACGACTGAGTTTGTGTCTTGTACCACATAAGGGAAAATGTTCAGCTAGATATGCTGACACCCAAGATAGTCTGTTTAAAGAGCATGCCTTGTTTTCTATTAAAGCAATGATCTGGTGCCCCCAAAAGCATTGTACTAGTCAGAATTCTCTAGATAAACAGAACTGATAGGATCTGTCTACACACTCTCGAGTGTCACACACACACACACACACACACACACACACACACACACACAAAGAGAGAAGATTTATTAGAGTGGCTTAAAGTCAGTGATCCGACAATTCTAACAATGGCTATCTCTCAACGAAAGTCCAAGAATCCAGTAGTTGTTCAGTCCATAAGACTGAATATCTCAGCTGGTCTTCAGTATCCACCAAAATGCTGAAGATGTAGGCTCTAATGTCAAGGAAGGAATGAACTTGCCAGGGAGAGCTAGAGCAAGTAGGCAAAAAGCAAGAACTTTCTTTGTCCATGTTGTTTATATAGGCTGCCACCAGAAGGTGTGGCCTAGATTTAAGGTGGGTCTTCCACCTCCAATGATCCAATTAAGAAAAACCCCTCACCCATATTCCCAGCAGCTTGAGTCTTGGTTGATTCCAGATATAGTCAAATTAGCAACCAAGAATACCCGTTTGAATATCCATTCAAAACAATTTTTTTTATTGTTTCAACAGTTCTGTCAGTCATCATGGGCATCCGAGGACTAATGAGTTTTGTGGAAGATTATAGTAATGAATTCTTCATGGATTTGAAATTGCGGGACACAAAAATTATCATTGATGGCTATTCTCTTTTCCACCGACTTTGCTTCAATTCAAACTTGGAACTCCGGTATGGAGGGGACTATGATTCATTTGCAGATGTTGTACAGAATTTCTTTGAATCACTGTTTGCTTGTCGAATTTCTCCCTATGTTGTATTAGATGGAGGATGTGACATTTCAGATAAAAAGCTTACAACTTTGAAGGACCGAGCTAGAGAGAAGATCCAAGCGGCCCATTCCCTTTCTGTTGGTGGGGGTGGGAACGTATGTCCCTTACTCATCCGAGAAGTGTTCATTCAGGTTTTGATCAGGCTTAAGGTATGTTTTGTCCAGAGCTTCTCAGAAGCAGATCGAGACATTATGACACTTGCCAATCATTGGAATTGCCCTGTGCTATCATCAGATAGTGACTTTTGCATTTTTGACCTGAAAAGTGGGTTCTGCCCACTGAATAGCTTTCAGTGGAGAAATCTGAACACTGTTAAGAATACACAAGATTACTATATTCCTGCTAAATGCTTTTCCCTTGCTGCATTCTGCCATTACTTCAACAACATGAACAAATCTCTGTTGCCTCTCTTTGCGGTGCTATGTGGAAATGACCATGTTAATCTGTCCATCATAGAAACAATCCTAAGCAAAGCACGGCTTCCTCTTAGTTCTAAGGGGAGGAGATATCACCGAGTTCAGGGACTTCTGAACTGGTTGTCTCATTTTGATAACCCTGCCGAAGCACTAGATAACGTTCTGAAGTATCTCCCCAAAAAGGGCCGAGAAGATGTTAAGGAACTTCTCTACTGTTCCATGGAAGAGTACCAGCCCTCCCAGGTGAAGCTGCAGGACTTCTTCCTTTACGGTACTTATGTCTGTCCAGATGCTTTGAATCTGGGCTTACCAGAGTGGGTACTAGTAGCTTTAGCCAAAGGCCAGCTACCACCGTTCATCAGTGACGCTTTGGTACTCCAAAGGACCTTTCTTCACACACAAGTAGAAAATATGCAGCGACCAAATGCCCACAGAATAGCTCAGCCCATCCGGCAAATCATCTATGGGCTTCTTTTGAATTCCCCATCACTTCCAGAAAGTACCCGGAATGCAGTGCCTTCTCAGCGTCTGGCTTTCAACGAAGTGGAAAGGATTAGTAAAAATATCAAAACATCAGTTGTTTATGCAAAGCAGCTGCTCAAGGATCATTCTGACTTAAGCAAATTGACTGAGGTAAGTTTGTAAGACTAATAAAATTCTTAGAAATCTCCTTACGGATTATAAGTTGCTTTCATATGCACTGTCTCTCTTTAATATAACACATTGGTTCCCATCATGCTTCACATTGTGTGTGAAGAACTCCAGTGAACTAGGTATTCTCTTAGCTAGTGTCAGTACTAAGACTCAAGCCTAGCACTTGTAGCACTAAATTTGCTATTCTTGATGTTCTTCAGTAACCTGTTTCCTTTGCAGTTACCACACTGTATTGATCCCAACTAGAATAGGGTTATATAACTTTAAAAAAGAGGAAAAGGAAAAATTCTGAACTGCAAAAGGAGGGTGCATATAGGCATTTGCTGTGGGCATAAAAGCATCTTAGATTATCTCAGAGTTAAGGTTGATACCTACGCTTCTGTCTAAAGGTTTTATTAATAAGGGCCTTTTCTCTCTCTCTCTCTCTCTCTCTCTCTCTCTCTCTCTCTCTCTCTCTCTTTTGTTTTTGTTTTTTTGTTTTGTTTGTTTTTCCAAGACAGGGTTTCTCTGTGTAGCTTTGGAGCCTATTCTGGCACTCGATCTGGAGACCAGGCTGGCCTCGAACTCACAGAGATCCGCCTGCCTCTGCCTTCCGAGTGCTGGGATTAAAGGCGTGTGCCACCAATGCCCGGCAGAGGGCCTTTTTCTTTAGGCTAAAAAGCTATGGCATCATGGTGACTTACTTAAACTGATCCCTAAAAGCGTATCTTAGCCTACTTTGGCATTGTTTAAGTCTAAGTAACACTCAGATCAGTCAGCATTTCAAGGAAGAAAATGTTCTCATGGATCCCAGTGTTGCCTTTGCTTTTGATAATATGTTAATATATTAAGAGTAACAGATATGAAACTGTTAATTTTGATAACACAATTAAACATGCAAAATAAATGTAAATGAACTTATAATGGCAGTTGCAATGCCCACTGGGTTGTTTGTTTTTTAGTTCCAACTAAATATTCACTCTCAGACCCATGGGATTATTGGCACAAACCTACTCAAGTGTGAAGGACAGCAGCCAGTTTCCCTGTGGTGGTGGCCAGATTTTACTGGCTTCCAATTTGATCCCCAAGGGGACATGTGATAGTGATCGTCACTTCCTAGGGAGTGGAAATGGTGGAGTTGCCACTGAGATCTAGTGGGGTAAGGCAAGGATGAACAGATTGGCATCCCCACAATAATTATGTGACCCCAAATGCCCATTGTGCATTTTTAGCTTCTCCACTAGTGACAGCATAAGCACAAAGAAAGGAGGTTCATAAGTGGGTCTCAAAAGTATCCTTGGCACTGGGAATGAACTAATAGAAACAGTGCTTCCTTTGGAGGTGATGAAAATATTCTGGGATTAATAATAGCTATACAAGCCTTCTGTATACTAAAACTATTAGATTGTGTACTTTAAAGGTGTGCATTTTCTAACAATGTTATTTATATCTCAAAGAAAGCAAGAGTTTCAGTTAAAAGCCTTCTTCCCAACAGGATCTAATCTGTGCATATACTTTATAAATGAATCTTTTTCCACCAGGCATCTTTTATTCAGTGTATCTGTGAGACTCACTTATAACTCATTCATTTCTCCCTGCTGTAAAACTCACTGCATTGTGGGAATGACTATATCAAGAATGACTTCTTCTGGGTGGTTTCTTGTTGTGCTGTTTCAGATAGTGCCAAGAATACTGTAGTACACATCACC